GAAAATATCTAAAGAGAGGGGTCATGGTTTGAGCTACATGTAACTTGAAACACCTCTAGCTAAAGTTATTTGCAAACATACATTTTGGCAGTATAGTATCTTTCCAATCATCTAAGATTGAAATGACAGAAACTTGATAAAAAAAATGAAACTTTTAAAAAATATGTTGACAGGATGAAAAACTGCACTCATGCATTTAATCTGATTAACATTTACAATGACTCTCTGTCACAAAACAAAATTAAATTGGTACTTTACATACATGATTCTAACAGAAGATAAACAATTCTAGTTTGAATACCATAAATACATTATAACAAGAGCCAGGGCCTAGCTGGGGTCACACTCGTCCATTTTCTTATTTCTGAAGTCAAAAACTTCAGAGAAAAAATATTATAGTTAATAGTGCTGCTACAAAACATATTTCATTTAACAAAATTTAATAAAATTCAAATTTCATATCTGACCTTGACAATCAATGTCAATTAAGGTCAATGTCACATTTGAATTAATCATCATGTCCGTTTTGTAATATTTGCTCTTTTTTCTAAATATGAATCATACATGTGTATATGTAAATCAAAAACAAAGTAGTGACATTTTAAACAAATCTTGACAGTCAAGATCAAATAAAGGTCAATGTCATATTTAAGTTATTCAAAAAACCGGTTTTATTATAAGTGTTCTTAAGAAGGTCAGAATCAATTTGGCCTATCCTTAAGTGTTTTTGTGTCAAAGTATGCAGAAAATCCGTACATAAATAACAAAGTTATAAACAATCATAGCAAAAATCAAGCAAAATACATTAATTTGACCTTCAAGGTCAAGGTCATGACAGCAACAGTAGCAGGATGACACAACTGTAGCAATAGCTTGATTTTTTCTTTTGAGCAAGTCCTGCCTAAATTGGTCCCAAATAGAACAGTTTTTCAAGTACATTTGTATTTCAATTACACAAAAATAAACATAGCATCACAATAACATTTTATTTCTATCATGTTTTTTTACTGTATTCGTGACATAGTGATGATAGCGGCAAAATATGTAAAACATATCATAAAGTTTTTTGTAAAATAGAATTTAGAGATTTCATAGATTTTATCTATAAATTTAATTTCATGTATAATGTAAACAAATGGATTTCAAAGCAAATTTGTGTGCTCATTAAACAACATTGCTTTCACTCTGTCCATCAGCATAACTTTCCTTACAACTTCAAAGCAAATTTGTATTTTCATTTATCAGCGTTACTTTTTCAGCGTCTTGTTTCATCTTTTGGCCTGCACTTCTTTTCTTTTCATATTTCACCTCGTAATCAGGGAATGTGTCAGTGACCGATTTTCTAAGTCCCTGATTGCTGTGACTGTATCCATACAAAAAATAAATTGCTAACCCTGTAAAAGAAAATTGTAAAATATTCTTTGTTCCCTTGTTGGTAAAAAGCAACAGATATTTTGGTGTCTCATAAAGGCCAATTATGCCTCAAAAATGATTTTAATTTCACAAAAACCTTTATTTTTTGTATCTAAATGTCACAGTTTCCAAGAAATACTTAGTACTCATTTGCCAAAGAGATGACCTACCTTTGTTTCCTTTTCCTATGTTGGCAATTGGTATAATTATAGTGAATTAGTATTTTGTATGGAAGTCAAAATACTACTTTGTTTACATTTTGCTATGTGTACGACTCATAACTGTACATTAAGAGATAATTTCTTCAGCTATTAAATATCTAACATGCTCTTATTCTATGAGTAACACACAAAGACAGCAAGGTAAACATTCAGATTGATGGCTTTCACAATAACAACCATAAAGTTAGAAAGCAAGATAATAAATTTAGTTCGCTACAAGACATTTTGTAATGCAACAAAGCAAGGTATACTTAAGCTGTTAAGTTACCGGATTACAATATTTGCTCAAGGATCTGTGCAAGGCATGATTTGTGACTGTGAAGGGAAATACAAATCTGTTATTACAAATTCTGAAAGCATATTATAAATATATCCCTCTATTGTACACAACAATGTTCAGTAAATCATAAACATTTGTCACCTTAGTGCAATAACATGTTAAGTCCTTCTAAATAGGAACTAGAACTATCACTAAATGTGATTAATACCCCCACAAGACTGCTTCGGAATTGAGGATGTTACTAGTAACAGAATACCTTGTAAAAGAATTGAAATATAGAGTTATGGTTGTGGGCAATTAAAGATAGTTGTGGTTCTTATATGTTGCATGTCCTTTCAATGTGGTTGGCCATTGATGAAGTTTAATTGAATTACTCTGTAATAAGTCCAGAAAGGCAAAGAAAAAGAACAAAGGGCAATAACTTTATAACTACTGAAGATAGAGTTATAGTTCTTGTGCACTGCACTTCCTCTTATTGTGCTTGACCATTGTATGACGTCGTTTTGAATTCCAACCAGTACGTTTCAAGTTATGCTCCTGACAAGGAAAGTATCAAAGGGCAGTAACTCTGTATTTTGTCAAAATGGATTTATGGCTCTTGTGCACTGCACTTCCTTTTAATGTCCTTGACAACTGTATGAAGTTGTTTTGAATTCCAAACAGTAGTTTCCAAGTTATGCTCTGGACAAGGAAAAGTAACAAAGGGCAATAACTCTGTAATAAGTCAAGATGGAATTATGGTTCTTGTGCACTGCACTTTCTCTCAATGTGCTTGACCATTGTATGAAGTTATATTGAATTCCAACCATTAGTCTTCAAGTTATGGTCCAGACAAAAAAGGCAATGGAAAAGCAACAAAGGGCAATAACTCTGTAATTACTTTAGATAGAGTTGTGGTTCTTGTTCACTGCACTTCCCCTTACTGTGTTTGAAAATTGTATGAAGTTGTTTTGAATTCAAACAGTAGTTTTCAAGTTATGCCCTGGACAAGGAAAAGTAACAAAGGGCAATAACACTGTAATAAGTCAAGATAGAGTTATGGTTCTAATGCACTGCACTTCCTCTCAATGTGCTTGACCACTGTATGCAGTTATATTGAATTCCAACCATTAGTCTTCAAGTTATGGTCCAGACAAAAAAAGCAATGGAAAAGCAACAAAGGGCAATAACTCTGTAATTTCTTTAGATAGAGTTATGGTTCTTGTGCACTGCACTTTCCCTTATTGTGTTTGACAATTGTATGAAGTTGTTTTGAATTCCAACCAGTAGTTTTCAAGTTATGCCCCGGACAAGGAAAAGTAACAAAGGGCAATAACTCTGTAATTAGTCAAGATAGAGTTATGGTTCTTGTGCACTGCACTTCCACTCAATGTGCTTGACCATTGTATGTAGTTATATTGAATTCAAACTATTAGTCTTCAAGTTATGGTCCGGACAAAAAAAAGCAATGAAAAAGCAACAAAGGGCAATAACTCTGTAATTACTTTAGAAAGAGTTATGTTTCTTGTGCACTGCACTTCCCCTTATTGTGTTTGACAATTGTAAGAAGTTGTTTTGAATTCCAACCAGTAGTTTTCAAGATATGCCCCGGACAAGGAAAAGTAACAAAGGGCAATAACTCTGTAATTAGTCAGGATAGAGTTATGGTTCTTGTGCACTGCACTTCCTCTCAATGTGCTTGACCATTGTATGTAGTTATATTGAATTCCAACCATTAGTCTTCAAGTTATGCTCCGGACAAGGAAAATGCAACTGACGTCTGGACCGACCGACCGACCGACCACCGGGTGACTCCTATATATCCCCCCAAACTTCGTTTTTGGGGGTATAATAACCAGTTATTGCACTAAGGTGATGATTTCTTTAGCTTTAAAGGCAAACAAACAAAAAAGACCAAACAATAGAAGAGCTGTCCATGTACTCAAATTAATATTCTCCCTTTCTCAGTGTTTGACAGTAAGAAAAGGGGGCATAACTATGTAAAAAGGTAAATCAGAGTTATAGGACCTGTGCCCACATCATGTTAGATAATCAAGGGTGTGAAGTTTCAACTCATTTTAGTAGTTTTGGAAATACCAACCTGCATATAAAAACTTAACCATAGTGTGACGCCAACATCGACACCAACATAGGGGTGCAAGAGTACAATAGCTCACCATATTCTAACCACAGAGGACTTAGTGTCGAACTTCTTAACACTATCAGTCTCAAAGGACTGTCACAACAACATCATGTTTTACATACCAAGCCGAAGATTATCTGTCGTCTTCATCAGAGGTATGATCAACATAAACATTAATTTCTGTCTCAATATCATCAAATAGTTCATCAATCTCAGTATGAGGGTGAAGTTGGAGGGAGGAGAGGGAAAGGTTGTCATGGAATATCGGTTCAGGACTGTGCCAACAGCCATATGAGAAATATATGAGAAAACCTGAAAGATATACATCTGAAAATCTAACCGTCAGCAAAATATATGACAAAAATTTGATATCTAGCCTTAAGCAATACATATGTGAAAAAATCTGATTACATAAATCTGATAACATACATCTGAAAATCTAGCCTGAAGCAATATAATTATATGAGTAAATCTGATAACATACATCTATAATGTAATATTCATATTATGAGAATAACCTGAAAAACATTCTATAACATAGTCTTCAGGTGGATTAAAAAGCTTTTGTTAGAGGACAAGAAGAGTATATACACATACATGTATGCTCCATATCATATAAGTAAATGTAAAATCTAAAAACTAAAGAATAAAGTACTCTACAAAGTTATCTATTTGCACAAATGTAGTATTCAGTACAGATAAATGTTTGAAAAATTTTCTCATACAGTTTAATATATAACCTTGCCTTTGTCCAATCTATGCATGTCCATTAGAAAAGAATATCAAAAGATGATCTTGTTATCAAAGGGAGAAAATTGCACTATAACTGAGCAGTTTTGCACGACGGATTTAGCAAGTTGTGCAATATATAGAGGTAAAACAAGTTTAAGTAGCTGATATACATGTACATGTATAGAACAATGCTATTGAAGGGAGACACAGGCAAAATTTTCATTTCTTAGTTTTGAATTTTTTCATTCATTATTCTGTAAATGTCATCAAATTGAATACACTGGACAGTCAAAGGAACAATATTTTTCTGCTTATAAAGAATAAAATGGTGGTTTCCAAACTCGACCCACTTGGGTCAGGTAATAGCTTTTAGATTTCACAATAGTTGTCACAGTGAACTCTGTAAACGTTAAAGAACATGTCAAATGAATGACTTAGACTTGTTTCAATCATACAATATCCACACCTGTTATTGTAACTTCCAGGGTTTGGTGAAGTCACATGACTTGTTTTAAAACTACTTTGTGAATCTGTCAGCGTCTAAATATGTTCAACATATATAAGATATATTTACCCTTCAAACCCAAAATATGTAGAGTTTATACAGAAATTCTTGCAGGGACTTTAAAAAATGTCATTTTAGCGTGATTTGAGTACATGAGATCAATATAATATTTTTGTCATCAATTTGCCTGAGTATCCCTTTAAAGGCAGTTAATCAGGCTATATATATGTATATATGGATATATTAATACAAACGAAGGATTACTGGAACATATATACTAACCTATTGCCATCCATACAGCAAACCGGATCCATGTCGCTTCAGGTAGACGTAGCATGAGAAATATATTAACAAATATACTAATACCCGGTAGAAATGGTAACCATGGTACCTGAAATAAATAAAACAACAAAAAGTTATTTTACATACATCAAAAGAACCTTAACACTTTATTGCGATTACTTGTAACATATCTTAACCCTTCTGAATTTTCTAAATGGACTTGTCCAACTTTCATTTTTAGGACTGTTCATTATCTGTTTTAGGTCAATCAAGATGGAAATATTAAGTTATTCAGCCAACAGTATAGAGCCATGTGTTCAGGTGCACAGATGTTCAGTCTGGTCTAATTCTATAATGATTGCTTGACAAATCACTAAAAATATAAACACTTAATATAATGAAAACAATTAAGGCTTATCCTTAAATGGACTTGTCCATCATTAAATCTGAAAAAAAGAACATTCTTCAAATGTTTTAGAAAATTAAAAATAAAAGTATGTAAAAACTGAAAATCAAAGAGTGTAGGCCATTCTAAGACTGCTTCCCACAAATGAAGGTAAGTTACTGTAGCAAGCAATTTTAAGTTAGCATTTCTGCTAAAAATTAATGTTTTAAAATAATCATTTGCAAAACAAAATCATATTAAAATACCTTAAATGCTACATCACTTTTATTTTGTGGTTGGCATGACAACGATATCAACAATATTAGCATAGCCAATGAAATTATCACAGTGAGAACAATAGCCCAGGCTTTACCAGCCGATATATCATCCTCTGCAAACTTCAAAAATATTGAAAAACCCACAGCCAAAAAACCTGAAACAAAGAAATATAAGTACAAATACACTGAAAACACTTAAGCTAGTTCTGCATTAAAACAAACTCTTGTCTGTTTGCTTGGATTTAATGCCAATTTCAACCCATTTTTAACCATATCTCGGCAGTCAGACCACCTAGTTGCCTTTCTTTGAAAGCTCTGTTCTTTAACATGGTAAATAGAACCAATATAGTATTGTTAGTGGTTGGTTACAGATCAAAAGAGCTACCTCCTGGATTAGTAGACTAGTGGCGGATTAACACTTCACAATGGATTTGATCTAACTTAGTTTATTTAGTCAAAAGCCTAATTGGTTATTTAGCATTTTCTAATTGTGGGCCAGATTGACAAGTGTCAAGTTGGGTATAGAATTGATGGTTAATTGACACTAAAAATCTACCAACTGATGCAGAAATACCTGAAAACGTACTGAAATGAGAAGGTTAATGATAAATTAAAACTATTATTGATTATTCTTATAATATAAGCTGGTGTTTTCACAAAAATGAATGACAACTTGCCCATATGGCTAGTGACAGCCAATCCTTAGCTCTGGGAATTGTAGTTTCACGCAATAAGTTTCAAATGTATTTTTCCTATACATTGTACTAGTCTAAATAAATCAAGTGACCCGTTGGACAGGGACAATATTGAACCAAGGGGAATGAATCATATCGTTTTGTAAAGGTCAATTTGGCAATGCTATTTGCTAGATATCTAAGCTCTAGACATTGAAGTTACACAAAATGAAACTTAAATGTGTTTTCTTATATAAGTCTATGTAACTCAAATAATCCCCGGGGCAGGGCCAATTTTGATCTCAGGAAGCCCAAACCTTTGTTCTGCACATCATTTCATTATCAAATAATATTTCTGCCAAAAGGTTATAATTTCTTGCTATTGGTTCAAAAGATACAGAGTGGACACGAAATTTTGTAAATCATACAAAATGATTATTGTGACCTTGACCTGAGAAAAGGTCAAACTTACCCACTGCATTATGATTCACATTTCTGCCAAATAGTTTTTTGTTTCCTTCCGGAGGTTCAAAAGATAACAGACTGAACATGAAATTGCTAACACACTGAGTGAAGGACGGACAGACACATAACCATATACATGTAACATCTACATGTTGAAATTTTAGGGCCTATCAAAGTTAAACCCACTTTTTGCAAAATGAAATGATTCTAAACATCCTTACTAAATATTGTTACTGCATATGCTGAGGTTTTTTCTGTAACACTAGATGGATCTATATTTCTAAAATTAAATGCAGTTGATATCACAGATAATTCATCATGATCACTGTTATGTAAAAGCTTGTTTCTATCATCTAAACCTTCCAGCTGACCGTCATCCTGATCAAGGTCACTTTGAGGCCTGAAAAAGAAAAATACATTTATCTTTGGTTATATTTTGATGACAGTTAAGGACATATAATGACTTTCCAGCTTTTATTGGTTCAGACATGCCATGCAATTCTGTCAATGCCTAACTTTATTTAAGTAGATTAAAAGGAAGAAGACTGTCTTCATTTACAAAAGGTAAAATGGTGAAAGGATACAGATCCTGACCAATAAATCAAACCTAACCTATAAATCAGGCAGTACTGAGTTCATTGAAAAATGAGATTCACTTTCCTCTTTTACAATCCATGCGATTACTGAATAACGTTCCCAGTAACCAATAATATGTATTTTCAATATGAATGGTTTATTGGATCATTGATTCTGTACATTTCTGTGAGTGTTATTCATCTCAACTTTGATACAGCTAGAGATTTAGGCCCAGTATCTCTTTCTTCCAATCAAGTAAATGCATGTCACTATTTTGTATTGTTGATGGTTGTAAAAGGGTGATTTCTGTCCATAGAAAATTGTGCATTAATCAGAGAAATACAATTCTACTGATGCATGATTTAAGGTATTACCATCCTAACGGGCACTATAAGGAACTGAAAAATTTATATCATAGGTCAGATATGTACCTTAAAGTAAGTTTGCAAAATTTAAACAAACTTTACCATATGGAAATCGAGTAATGGCCACTTTTAAGAACTGAAGCTAGGCTGTATGAGGGCCCTTTTTCAGAAATGAGTAACCTTTAAATAATCTGCAATAACATTCTAATGAAAAACGTTTTCCTGTTAATTTTTGATAAGAAACAAATAGTACTATTCAGCTAACAATCAACATAAATAAAATGATGGTTTCTACCCAAAATTTATAAAATATGTATAAAAATGTTACCCTACCCCACCCATTTTTTAAATGTGTTTGACAATTTTCCTACTTAGGGAGCCTAATTTAAAAAATCCTTAAAACTTATCCAAATGAGTGCCTGTTTTCAAAGTTTCCCTAAATTTTTAAAAAAAAGTATATTGGTTGATCTTGTAAAATATTAAATACATTATACTTTTACCGTCTACTTTTGATTTTATTACACTTTGAAAATATCATGTACCATATTTATTACTAGATTTAGCATTATTTAGCCAATAAATACCTATATAAATTAAATTATAAAAACATAAACACTTTTTTCTACCATAAATGGATAGAGAGATACATAAATAATGTAAAAAGAAATAAAAGAAAGAAAAAAAAGTTAACCCATTTGAGGTTTGAACCCATGGCCCTCAGTTTCAATGTAGTTAACATTAGTTCTAGCCTATTAATTTTCAAAGTGGAGGTAAAGCATAAGGATGGTAATACCTTAAACAGTTATTAACATAGAGGATATTGAATGAGTGTAGGTTTAATACTAAATTTATTGAACGAGTTGAATAAAATCATATTATGCGAGCCTCTGGTGAGCATAATATTGTTTTATTCAACGAGTTCAATAAATTTAGTATTGAATCTACACGAATATAATATTCTATTTATCACATATATAAAATAAGAACGGTAAACTGTTAACAAGAGTCATTTTTCTTTGACGCGCCTATAGTGTAACGCTAACATTAGCACGCTTTAACGCTATGTTTATAGTGCAAATGACATGACGTCAAAGTGTTATTACACTAGTGTAATATCGTCTAGTGTAATATCGTTTTTATTAAATGGCTTTATTACACTCCTGCGCCGCGGTTTATGTGATAAAAGATGTTTAAAAAACTTATAAATGTCATTTTCTTAAACTTGGTATTTAAACATTATGCTTATTGATCGATCGGCTGTCATTTGAATGTGCCAACACCCCTAGATAAGTCGGTGGTTGCTTGTCCCCTTGTATAATGTCCCAGGTCTCAACCCATCTTAAAAACATTTTGATCAAATACACATAAAATCTTCTGGCACGTCTGAAGATGCATGAGATGATATCATCTAAAGAATTAAAACAAGGCCTGTTGGCAGACAGCGTGCTCCTATTTTTTCAGTGCTGAATAATTAAAAAAATAATAGAAAAAGGGGCACAACTTTACAATAAATTATTTAAGGATTATCAGACATCATAATCTGCCCTTTTAAAATGGTGTCCTTTTATGACAATATACATGTTTACATAGTTTGAATTGAAAAAAAGCTTAAAAAAACTTAACCAATATTGACACAAACGACAACACTGATGGAAAGATCTTTGAAATGTGGAGCTAAGAAACATCCTTACACATTAGTATAACTTCCTTTTGATTCATCTATTTCTCCTATATTGTGCACCCTGTATCTCAATAAAAGTACGGACACAGCCACCATGGTGTAAGCTAACAAGGTCCCTATGGACATCATGTGTATTAATTTCTTCAGGTCAAACAACATTGCCATCACACCTTTAATATAGAATAAGTAAAGCAATGGTTACAAAAGTAAAGCAATGGCTATAAAAGTAAATCAATGGCTAAAAAAAGTAATTAAAAAGCAAACGCTATGAAAGTAATGAAAATTAAGAGAAGGCTATAAAAAGTAGAGCAAAGACTATGAAAAGTAGAGCGAAGATTGTGAAAGTAATCTCGCTATGAATGTAAAGTAAAGGCTATGATATGTATAGCAATGGCTACAAAAAGATTATGTTAAAGTAACAAATTGCCCTATACATGATTTTCAGCCTTAACGGATAACGATAGCCGGAGACGAACAACGGACAGATATTTGGGGGAATTATCTCAAAATACATATTATTCTTTAAAGTGCTTACAAGTCCTATAACCTTTTTATGACTGGTAATGTAAGTACAAATATATACAATTTATTGAAGAACATTCCATTTGTGTCTCCATGCACTTGAAATTGAACTGTAACGTTTAATTTCAGCTATAACGTGTTCAATACATACACGGTATTATACTAATATTCTGTTATGTTTAAGGCACTTTCTTCGTTGAGGCTCATGTTTACGGCGAATTTGAGCTGACGTGCATGGTGTCTTATTATATTGTCATTATTCGGATAATTTTGTGTCGGCAAGTAAAACGCACTCTTCTGGAAATGGTAAAGCTGTGCCGATCTGAGGTAACATATGTTACTGCTGGTCATCGTCATGATGACCAAGAAACCCACTTTATATATATATTATAGTACAATGACATTAAACTTTTATTTGTGAAAGAATTGCATGGTACTGTCGATGTCCCGATTAAAACTGTTCCTGTGGTTTATTCATAGAATAGATAAATACAGAATCCCTAAAGAAAGCCCGGCCTATTCATTTCATGAGAGGTTCCATCAATAGCTCCTACAGCTATTGGATTTCTTTTCCAAGTTCCCCTCATAGCTAACCACAATCGATCCAGTTGCCAAACGACAAATGTTTTTAGATAAGCAACCTTATTTCAATTGTCACACTTGGCACTGATATGTTGAACAATGACGACAGCATCATAAACGCTGGGTATGTTCGAAACCACATAAACACAAGAAGAACCCTGTTTCATGCAGAAAGTTTATGAGGCCTGTATGATGAAAAACGAAGAGTATCTAACAAATCTTAAGATGTCTTAGGAGTTTCCCCGGTCACTTGGGAAACAAGTATCGATTGGAAGAAATCAAAGAAAACACATTTCTGCCGCCATAAGTGTCTTCAACGATTCCAAAGAGTCTATGCCTTATATTAAGTATCGGGTTAGGCGGTGGTCGGATAAGTTCTAAAATCATGCAAATGAGTCCAAAATAATTGGTGATACCTGGGGGTGACTTAACCAACGCTGGTATAAAGTCACTTATTGATCTGATTGATTCATTGTCCATTGTTACCTAAAATTAGAGACAAGATTCACTTCAATATATTTTTACATTCGTTTTCATTTGATATAATTGAAGTTTAAAATAAATGTAACCGTGCTTCATAAATTATTATTATCTTTTTTGTACCGTTATATTGTACAATTTATCAGTCATATATAGCCAAAATTCCAGCACGGAATTCATGTGGTCTATGTAACACAAATGTCTTTTGATAATATATATCAAAAGGAAAATGAAAGGCGGAAATAATGTTGTTTTTTTCAGCTTTGGGTCCACAAATGTGAAACCCCATCTATTGGAAAGACATACATACAATCATACAATTATGCATAGTCAAACAAATATATAAAGAAAATCAGTAGAAAAAAACTAGAAAAAAGGAAATATGTGATATGATACAGTTTCATAATTTTCACATTACATTGATAATATAATTTATAAATGCGATTATATAAATATTCGTTAGCAGAAATTTGTAATACTGTGGTTAAATAATTCTACTATATGATATTTATAAACAGATGATTTTGTGAGATAGTTTTACATTTATTTATATATTGTTATTTTCTCATCCTTGTCACCTCAGTGCTCACAGTTAGAAAAACCTAAACGAAAAGTGTATACGAAAAATAGATAAGGGCTTGCTTTGGATTATGGTTTAGAAAATGACTAAAAAAATATAATATGAATGTATTATGTTATGTATAGTTCACATAATTAATTACATAGTAGGTAGAGTTATTAACACCATGGACAAGGATTATCCTAAATAAAATAAACCACAATTCCATGTCTCCTAACGGAATAGTTTATCGACATGCTTCTATTATCAGAGAATCTTTGTGTAGCTTTTCAATGTGTCTCATAAAGAAGGATAACTGCTATAATTTACCTAACATATGTTAACAAATTTACTTCCCTTTATTAGAACAACAAAATTGCTTAGTTTTTCTTCCTGGTTTAAGGTAATTTTTCAAAATACACAATTACATATTACATAAAAAAGATTTAAACAAATAATAGTAAAACCAGCTGGAACTGTCTCCGCCTACTCTATCGTGGACCTGAATTCAACCAGAGCACGACCAGGGGCATAAAAGCTCAAAAACGGTCTTCCTGCGGCAACGCACGCTCCAGGCCGTGCACCCTCGACCCCTAAAGAAGGTCGGGAGTCAGGAGTATCCCCGTTTTCACGATGAGTCAAACATGTATGCGACAGCTCCAT